ACGCGCACATATATTCATCGCATCTAATATAGTTTATATCTGACCACTTGCAGTCCAGAGGCTGAATTACGGGTGCAGCGTAAAGATGAGAACAGACGTCAGCGTATCAGAATGACCATTACAATCCACGCACATTCACGCCACATCTCGCTGCCACCAAAGATGTTCACTCTAACGCGTCAAGATTCAAATGACTCAATTTTTCTTTTACGACCATGATGCAACGCAATCAGAGAGCGCACACTGCCTGGGTAACCCTTGAATGAGTGTGTGACTAGAAATGTTGCGTGACATATAGGCGGCATCAGCAGTCACAGTTGAATTAGCGCCACAACATTGAATGGTTTGTAGCTTGCGACTGACAGACCAGTTTGCAACGGAAGCATAGGAATCCTTGATTTTTCATTTCCAATGCATATCGCATCCCTTCAGAGCCGTGTAACTGTTATAGCTTTTGCCAGTAGTGAGAATTTGGTTTTTCACTGGTTTAGACGATCTATCTGTGATCAACCAGGTAGGCGCATAACAAATATAATACACGAGGATTTGTGTGATAACATGCCGCGATTTCGCTTTGTGATCACAATGCTATTGTGACCGATTCGGCGATCATCAGCGAAAACTTCAGACATCTATTTAATAACCACTGTATAAGAAGATTGTTTCTTTTTTTTCTAACTTTTGTATCGCTCCGGCGTATCAGCAAGCTAGCCCGAGTTAAAGCACGTGTCACAGACTAAATCTTCTCTGATTTGCTGCATGGTTTCCTGGCTATCGCAAGGCCGATGGTTATTACCCGATCTGAAGATTGACATATCCAAACTGCTCGAGATCATCAAATACCATTGAATGAAATTTATTGCTGACTGTAGACCGATGGTGCGCAGATGGGGAATTATATTTTGGTATATCATTACATAACAGATTTTGACCTTTGACCTCTCTGACTTATGAGATCTTGCCGAAAGCGCAAACGTTAATAGTTTATATTTGACAAGTTGATTCTCCGCGATCAATTGCTGATTTATTGTAATGCAGCAACCTAACTTATAATTGCTTTGTCGTTGGCTCTCTTCACAAGGCTATCTGATATTCACCGGTATAAAATAAGAGAAGTTTATTACGAGGATTCCTTGTCAAAGCTGTCACGCAACACAATTAAACTGGCTCTAAGTGATGGTCGTGACAACTTACTTTTATTATTGCGACCGCTAGACTTTAGCGAATTTTTCAGAAAATATGCACTTAGAAGGCTTGATTTAAGTTGAAACAATTATTGTAGAGAGCTCTATGGATTAAGTTTTACCAAAACGTCAAGTTAACATTGTTTAATTTAAAGTTACATTTGAAAACTTACCAGGAAAGTTAAACGCAATGGAATATTCCTCTCTTGGTTTTTCATCATTTTTCATAATTTCAGAAATGTCTCTTTTGCATGATATTCAAAAGATCGGCTGTGAAGAAGGCGTGTGTGACAAGACTTTGCGAAAACCATTGTTAAAAGTTGAAATTCGTCCTTGCAAATTTTATTTACCTGCTGGAAAGTTTATTAGTGTGCCACGTGTACTTCGCTGGCTTCCAGGTCTACTCGACCTTGTGTTCTGCTTATTGTTTCCTTTGCTGTTGTGTTCTCGACTATTGTTTTTGATTTTCGGGTTATCCTTTCTCAGGGACGGTCATCCACACACCAAAAGCATGTCGCTTGCCAGTCAGCAAAACGTTCAAAAAGAAAATGGTATCCGCACTGACAATATCTTTTGCTCTAAGGGCGTAGTGCAGTTCATACAAAAGTACCGATGGTCACAAGTCAGGTCCATAGAGAGAAGCCTTCAACTGTTCGATGTCGCGGTTAGTACTTTTGGATTTGACAATAAGCTTTGCGTCTCAGCCAAAGCAGATGGCCTGGGCACAGCTCTTGAAAAAGTGAAGGTGCTCATTGACAAAGTGTTTTGTGAAAACTTTGAGATTGAACAGCCTGGTATTGCCCGCTACTGCTCAAAGGGAAGACTTGACAGTCTGGTCAAGATGGTAATGAATGAGGAAAAATGCTACGTCCTCGTTGAGAAGAAATTCCTCGAGTCGGCGACTTGCCCCACAAG